GATCCCCACCCAAATCTCACCTTGAATTGTAGCTCCCATAATTCCCATACGTTGTAGAAGGGACCTGATGAGAGGTAACTGAATCATGGAGGAAGGGCTTTCCCATTCTGTTCTGGTGCTAATAAGTCTCACAAGATATGATGGTCTTATAAAGGGGAGTTCCCATGCACATGCTCCAGTTGGCAGCCATGTAAGACATGACTTTGCTCCTCCTTGGCCTTCCACCATAATTGTGAGGCACCCCCAGCCATGTGGAACTGTGAGTCCCTTAAACCTCTTCCCTTTATAAATTACCCAGTCTCAGTTGTCTTTATCTGCAGCATGAGAACAGACTAATACAGTAAATTGGTACCCAGAGTAGGGTGCTACCATCAAGATACCTGAAAATGTGGGAGTGACTTTGGAAATGGGTAACAAGCAGACGGTGGAAGAGTTTGGATGGCTCAGAAGACAGGAAGATGTGGGAAACTTTGGAACCTTCTAGAGATTTGTTGAATGACTTTGACCAAAATTTTGACAGTGATATGGACAACAAAATTCAGGCTGAGGTGGTCTCAGATGGAGATGAGGAACTTACTAGGAACTGGAATAAAGGTCACTCTTGCTATGCAAAGAGACTGGCAGCATTTTGCCCCTCCCTTAGAGATCTGTGGAACTCTGAACTTGAAAGAGATGATTTAGGGTACCTGGCAGAAGAAATTTCTAAGTGGCAAAGCATCCTAGAGGTGACAGAGCATAAAAATTTGGGAAATTTGCAGGCTGATCATGTGGTTGAAAAGAAAACCCCACTTTCTGGAGAGAAATTCAAGCTGGCTGCAGAAATTTACATAAGTAACCAGGAGCCAAATGTTAATTGACAAGACAGAAAATGGGGAAAACTGTCTTCAGGGCATGTCAGAGACCTTCATGGAAGCCCCTCCCATCACAGGCTTGCAGGCCTAGAGGGAAAAAATGGTTTCCTGGACGGGTACAGGCCCCCCCCCACTCTGCACAGTCTCAGGACTTGGTGCCCTGTGTCCCAGCCACAGCTAAAGGAGCCAAGGTACAGCTCAGGCCATGGCTTCAAAGGATGCAAGCCCCAGGCCTTCACAGCTTCCACCTGGTATTGGTTCTGTGGGTGTGGAGAAGAGCAAAACTGAGGTTTGGGAACCTCTGCCTAGATTTCAGAGGATATACGGTTATACCATGATGTCCAGGCAGAGGTGTGCTGCAGTGGCAGAGCTCTCCTGGAGAACCTCTGCTGGAGCAGTGTGGGAGGGGAGTATGGCTGCCCCAATAGGGGGTTCCCACACAGAGTTCCCACCAGGGCACCACCTGGTGGAGCTGTGAGAAAAAGGCCACTGTCCTCCAGACCCCAGAATGGTAGATCCACTGACATCTTGCACCCTGTGCCTGGAAAAGGCACAGATACTGAATGCCAGCCCATGAAAGCAGCCAGGAGGGGAGCTGTACCCTGCAAAGCCACAGGGGCAGAGCTGCCCGAGACCATGGGAACCCGCCTCTTGCATCAGTGTGACCTGGATGTGAGACATGGAGTCAAAGGAGATCATTTCAGAGTTTTAAGATTTGACTGTCCTGTTGGATTTTGGACTTGCCTGCGGCCTACAGCCCCTTCATTTTGGCCAATTTCTCTCATTTGCAGTAGGTGTATTTACCCAATACCTTTAACCCCACTGTATCTAGGAAGTAACTAACTTGCTTTTGATTTTACAGGCTCATAGGCAGAAGGGACTTTCCTTGTCTCAGATGATGCTCTGGACTGAGGACTTCTGAGTTAATGCTGGAATGAGTTAAGACTTTAGGGGACTATTGAGAAGGTATGATTGGTTTTGAAATGTGAGAATATGAGATTAGGGAGGGGCTGGGGTGGGTTGATATGGTTAGGCTCTGTGTCTCCACCCAAATCCCATCTTGAATTGCCACTCTCCTAACTCCCATGTGTTGTGGGAGGGACCTAGTGGAAGGTTATTGAATCATGGGGAAGGGTCTTTCCCATGCTGTTCTTGTGATAGTGAATAAGTCTCACAAGATCTGAATGGTCTTATAAAAGGGAGTTCCCCTGCACATGCTCTCTTGTCTGCCACCATGTAAGATGTGACTTTGTTCCTCACTTGCCTCCAGCACAATTATGAGGCCTCCCCAGCCATGTGGAACTCTGAGTAAATTAGGACTTTTTTCTTTATAAATTACCCAGTCTTGGGTATGTCTTTTTTAGCAGTGTGAGAAAAGACTAACACAATCTAATCCTACCACCAAAAATACCTAGTGTTATTTTGGGATATTTCAATCTGGCTTTTTTTCCCCATGAATGCAATAGGTTTTAACAAAGCTTTAATTAGACACAAGCAAATACACATACATGCAATGTTGTTTTCTCTTAATTTGATCTCATAAGCATTTTCCATGTAATTGCAATACATTCTCTTCACAAGCAATATTTTTAATGACTCCAGGCTAGTCCAAGAAATGGGTTTCCCATTACTTGCCTAATTCTTCCCCTATTGTCCCATGTTGTAGTTTCGTACTTGCTTCACTAAGTTAAATGTTATTAATATAAGTATCTTTAGGTTGCTCATACTTAGTTCCAGTCGCTTTCCTAAAAGTATGCATTGATCAATGTACTCTTTGAGGGTTGTTTCTAGACAGCCCACTGTGCTCCAAATGAAAACCAACATCCCAGAGGTTCTCCCCTTATTCAGTCCTCTTCATGAAGCTTTAGGAAGGGAACATTTGAATCTCTGCTACTTGCCAGGCTCTGTTCTGCATGTTTAATGTTATCTCAATTATTCAAATCTAAGTTTCAAGACTTCAGCAATCATCTAGGCTTTTCATTCATTAAAAGTAGTACTGCATGCTTACATAGTGCCAGGTACTTGTAACATAGTAGTAGGCAAAACCAAACTCCCTCAGGAGTACTCACCCTGTCTCAAAGGCACTCCAAGATGTTAAAAAGTAGCCACTCCATTTCTGTACTACTTTGATAATAAAACATTTCAATGGCTCCCATTACACTTCAAATGAAATCCAAATTCCTTTCCCTAGCCCACAAAGCTCCACCTCAGCTGGCTTTGCCTACCCCTCCAATACCATCCCCTGACATGCTATCCTTATCTATTAGGCCTCACCATTTGAATACTCTAAGCTCTTTCCACGTGAGCTATTCACCATGACTGAACCTCCCACTCTGATCATCAAAAATTCAAGCCCCTTCCCATCTTTTAGGTCTTAGCTGAAATGTCACCTCTTTATGGCTTTCCTTGGTCACTCCATCTAAGAGGTTCACCGATATTTCCCTACTCTGCCATATCTTCAGTTTGTTTCTTTCATAGCACTTATCATTCACTGCAACTGTCTGTTGGCATTTCTTCCCTAATTGAGATGGGCTTTTGCTTATTCGCCACTTTATCTACAAATCCTACCACAGTACCCACTGGGCAGAATCCATGGCAGATAAACTGTGTGCTGCATAAATGAAATGTTTTTCCTTCACTTGGAATGAAATTTAGTTTCTTGAAACTTCCACCTATTGATCCTAATTTTACTCTTTATAAATACATTGGGAAAAAAAGTATACTGCATGTGTATCATATCATACTTTAATTAAATATATATTTGTTAACTGCAGCACTCACCTGGTTTTTAGCAACTGCAACCTTTGCTGACTTCAGAGAGACTATCAAGAACCAGGTGAGGGCATGGACTTCCAGGTGACATCACCTGGGTTGGAACATGAGCTCCAAAACTTACACAAAATGGATCTCACTTGTGTGACTTTGAACTAGTTCTCTAACCTCTTGGTATCCCTGTTCCCTCATTTGGAAAACTAGGATAAGGCTTCAATTGCTTTGAGAATCAAATGGGATAATGTAGGTAAAGAGCTTACCCGAGTTTCTGGCACAGGAACGTTAGTTGACAAACTACTACTGCTGTCTCACCAGCTAAACAGGAAAGCTCCTTGAAAGTGGTAACATTATTTCTTTACATTTCTAAGAGGTAGCTATACAAGATTAAACAAATCTAGATTTAAAGCCATCATCCTACAAGTCTGGCTAAGACATCCCTTTCTTCCATATATTCCCATAACACACTGAACCTAGCCCACCTGTTATTTATCCCAACAGTCATTTTACTATTTTGTCTCCAACACCTGACCCTTAAGAGCAGCTCTATCTTGTTCACCAGGTTATCCTCAACACCTGCAACACCAAAATTGGGTAACTAATAAAGCACTTCTGCCTTTCATTCACCCCATGATAATAATTTTTAAAATTATTTATTGTCTGTCTCTGCCCACTCCCACACAATGAAAACGCAGGCAGCCAATCTGTGTCTTGTTAACTGCTATATCTAGTAACCCCTACCAGAGGCTCCAAAATATTTGGTAAAAGATGTTTTATGTTGATTCTCGCAGTTTTCTGCTACGGAATTAAATACTAAGCCTGTCTACTGACTCCACAGAATTGTTGATGGGCTATGTGCGCTCTTCAATATATCTTCAAAGCCTAGGCTTGGAGTAGAAAAAGCAGATTATGTATTGAATGAACAGATGGACTTGTCATTTTCTAACACTGAAAAGAGATGCAACAAAATGACAAACGTAGTATTGAATAGAAAGGCTGAGAGAGACTTGAGTAAGGTTTTGTGTTATATACATACATTAATTCCCAACATCTCTACAGTAGTTATACTATTTTAAAGTAGTTAACAGTGAATAATGTTAGCTCTTTTTTCTTTTAAGTAAATGAGTGTGCAAAAGACAACGAGTCAGGTACCCTCTCGTTCCCCAGCCTGTCTCTTACGACCTGCCAATACAGGCGTCACCTTGACACCTAGCTCTCTGGTGGCCTGGGAGCCCCGCGCTACCTCTCAGACCTGGCTGCCAGTAACCCGAGGACAGTCCAACGCGAAAAACCGGAAGACAGCTAGAGCAGAGCACCCCCACGGGCTACAGTGCCGGATGTCGGCACTCCAAGCAACCCACCACACTGCCCCGCACTCACCACCAGCGAGGCCATGAATCCTGGCCGATCCATGGTACCGCGGACCTCGTCAAGACTACCACCCAAGTCAAACCAGAGACGGACAGCGTCCTCGTGCGCTGGGCGTCGCCATCTTTGAGGCGGGCCTGTCTTGCACTTCCGGGAACACGTGACGTAGAAGCACAACAACTGCACGTGCGACGCTGGGGAGGGGTGCCAAGAGGAAGGCCAGAGAGGAGGGGCGGGGCCTCAGGGAGCGTGGTCGAGCTAAGTTTCGGCAATTTTCTTACCTTAGTTTCCTGCAGCAGCCTTGTGAGCAGCTAGACGGAGGAACTCTCGCGAGCAAATGATCCTCGGCTGAGATCCAGGAGAGGACAACCCTAGAATGAGGCCGAAGTGATCCTGCACTGTAAACCCAAAAGAGGCGTGGCTATGGCGGAGGAGAGTCGTGAGGGGCAGGACTAACCTCGGGAGGCGAGATTCGGAATCCTATTCGGGTGTTTCATTTTGGTTTATCTTTTAGTTTTGTAAACAAATTTTATCCGAATTTATATTAAATTAACTTATCTGAAGGTTATTACATAAAGATATAGAAAAATACTTCAAAAATTTCCTTACCAGAGCTAAAAATTAACCTCTTCCATTTTTCCTTACACGCAGCTATTGCACTTAAAATTATTTGTTTGTTCACTTGCTTACCTGCTCATGTGGTTCGCTGTTGTACCCATGTGTACACTTCAAAGCACACGTTATTAAGTACTTAATAAAATTTCTTGGAGTGAACCTCTTTATATTTATTAAACAAATACCTTGTAAACTTCTGTGTATATTAAGGGCCAGCTGCATCGCAGACGTGCTGCCAAGTGATTGACAGACATTATTTTCATTTAATCCTTTCACCAACCCTGTGCTGTCAGCACCACTACTGTCCTCATTTTACAGAGGCTCCTGAAGTCTCCAACAAGTAACAAACCCAGTATTGGCTACAGAGAACATAGCAGAGCAAGCACTGAAAATATACTTACTGCCCTCATCATCTTTCCTGAAAACCCTTATAATAGCCTGAGCAGGCTCCTTGCCTGGCCTTTCTTCAATCCCTATTCTATAACACTGCTAGACCTATTCTTATAATTATTCTTACTCTTTTCTAGGTAAAATGATCTAGAAATTATTTGCAGAATAGCTTTGAGTGTTAGATGAAATTCAAATTCTGAGCTATCACCTGCTGGATTTGGGCATAAGTTTCCCAAGATTGAGTTTTCTCCTCCGTAAAGTGCTAATAATGATAGTAACTTTTTCATGCAGTACTGTTATATTAATAGATTAGACGAGATAATGCACTCAAGTTCTTAGCCTAGTTCCTGGCTCATAGAAAGTACTCCCTAAAGATGATGGTAATGTCATTTCCCTGCTTACAGCTCCCCTCTGCTGCCAGTAGAGACAGTCCAGCTCCCTATCATGGTCTATACCTCTCAGCTGGTGTCTCCTGTCACTCTTCCCACTAGCCAGACTACACACAGACAGATTATACACTTTTGAGCCTCCTCATTTTGCCTATGTTGTTCTCTCTACCCAGAATACCTTTGCCTATGCTGCCTGTAGGCCCTCTGAAAACATGCTAGTTCACTTTGTCAAGGCCAGCAGAAGAATCTCTGTTGCTGCTGTTTCTGTCTTTAAAAGGCTCATGTGTTTTGGTCAGGCCTACCCAGGATAATTTCCATTTTTATTAACTTAAAGTCAACTAATTAGACACCTTAATTATATCTGCAGAATCCCTTTTGCTATATACTATAACATAATTCTGGTGGTAATGTACTATCATACTCACAGGTCCTGCTGACATTCAATGGGGTGATTATGCAAAACACATTCGCGGTCAGGACTCTTGAGGACCACCTTAGAATCCTGCCTACTTCACATTCCTATATACCCTACCAGCAGGCTCCTCAAAGGCCATCAAAGTTCTATCAATAAGCTTTCACTGACATTCCCCTCAGCCTTCCCACCTTTCACCTACTGCCTGGTGCCAATGGCACTCCCACAGTTTAGGAATTACAGTAGTAGCCACCTCCAAGTACCAAAATCTATATTGTTTGTCTATTTCTGCATAACAAATTACCCCCAAAATTTAACAGACTAAAGCAACAATAAACTTGTATTACCTTACACAGTTTTCATATGTCAAGAATCAAGGAGTCTTTTAGCTGGCTGGTTCAGACTCAGAAATTTTCATGACACTGCAGTCAAGATGGTGGCCAGGACTATATCATAAGACTTGATTGGGACTGGAGGATCCAATTCCAAGATGGTTCACTCCCATAACTGGCAAATTAGTACTATCTATTGGCAGGTGGCCTTAATTCCACATGGCATAGATCTCTCCATGTGCTGCTTGAGTGTTTTCATGATGTAATAGCTGGTTTTTCCTAGAGTAGGTGGTCTGAAAGAGAACAAGAGAGAAACTACAAAGTCTTTTATGACCTGTCCTCATAATTTACTCAGTTGTTATTCCAGCGATTGTCTATTGATTACACAGGTCATCCACATTTATTATGGGACTGGACTACACAAAAGCATAAATACCAGAAGATGAGGATCACTGGGTGCCATCTTGGAAACTGGCTACCACATCAAGGAAATGCTGGTGAACACCTCCATGAGTTATGAATACTCTTTAGAGTGGCTAAAATTGAAAAGACCAAGTGTTGACAAAGATGAGGAGCAACGGGAAATCTCATACATTGCTGTTTGGAATTTAATATGGTACAATCATTGTAAAATCCAATGCTCCACGTCCGTATTTACCCAAGAGAACTAAACATTTATACAAATACTTTTACATTATATTTCAAAGCAGCTTTATCCATAATAGTCAAAAGATGAAAACCTGAATATCTATCAGTGAGTGAGTATATGTATAAACATATTACAGTACATCCTTACAATGGAACATCACTCAACAATGAAAGGATATGAATTACTGATACATGAAACAACATGGATTGATCTGAAAGCATTATGCTATGTAAAAAAAAAAAAAGAGACTACTTATATTACAATTCCACTTACGTGAAATTGCAGAAAAGACAAAATTATAGTGACAGAAAATAGATCAGTAGTTTCCAGGGGGTGAAGGTAGAGGCAAAGGATTGACTACAAAGTGGACACAAAAGAATATTTTCAATTATGAAGATATTCTCTATTATTATTGTGATAGTAGTTACATGGGTATATACATTTACTAAAATGCATTGACTTGCACAATTAGAATGGTTATACTTAGTATATGTAAACTATAAGGTGGCTCATGCCTGTAATCCCAACACTTTGGAAGGCCGAAATGGACGGATCACCTGAGATCAGAAGTTCAAGACCAGCCTGGTCAAAATGGTGAAACCCTGTCTCTACTAAAAATGCAAAAAATTAGCCACATGTGGTAATGCACACCTGTAGTCCCAACTACAGAAGGCTCAGGCAGAAGACTCACTTGAACCCAGGAGGCGGAGGTTGCAGTGAGCTGAGATTGTGTCACTGCACTCCAGCCTGGGCGACAGAGCGAGACACCATATCAAAAACAAAAAAAGTATATGTAAACTATAGCTCAATAAAGTTGATTAAAACATTACTATATTACATGATGATGAGGATTAATAATACATGCACAGAAATTTTTAGTCCAGTGATTGGCACATAGAAAATATTGAGTTTATTCTGTATTTTCCTATTTAAGTTAGATATTCTGAATATTATGAATGAGAGACTGCTAAGTTATCAAGATGCATAAGTACTTTGTGACACATACTACTATAACTTCCTAAGTGAAAATAAATCTTATTTCTAGCTACTAATGTTCCTGGAGGTTTTTAATGTAATTCCTTCCCTAAGAGAAAATTTAACCCAGACTTACAACATTAATTTTGATTTAATACATCCTTTGAAGTCTAATCAAGAAAAAAACTCTTTTCCTCTTCAATGCAATGATTGTCTTTAACTTTGTAAGAAAAAATTGTGTTGATGTCATTTTCTGGTAACCTGGAGGGAAATGTAATTTATCAGGTACTTTTCAAAATCAAGGAGAAATACATATTCTCTCCTTTTATGCAAGGTAAAGGCTTTACTAAGTGTTACATGAGACCACTTGGAGGCCCTTTGGAAAGTACAGATATTACAAACATGACCTAGGGCCTCCTTTTCATGAAATGCTAGCAGGAAGACTCATTACTGCTTGTGCATGCTTTTTAAGTGGAATATTTCAGTGCATCATCATTATCACCACATTGCAGGCAGCATATGCTCTCAAATCTTTCATTTTAAAAGATACAGGCAATGTGGTAAGCACTGATTTGCATTATACATGTAATATCATAATAATATGGTCTTTCTCACTTAAACTATCACTGTAAGTCAAGTTTTCTTTTAAATGAGCTCTAAAATCTTAACAGTATTTATAAAAAACTAGCAAGAAATCAAAGATACAGCTCAAAAAAGAATTAGGCCTAGCTCAGAAAACAACAACAACAACAAACCAAGGACATAATCTTCAACGACGACTAGGCTTAAGTTCCAAGCCCCTGCTGCTGTTGTTGTTGTCGTTCTTGTTGTTTGTTTTTTGTTTTGAGGCAGGGTCTTGTTCTGTTGCCCAGGCTGGAATGCAGTGGTGCCATCTCAGCTCACTGCAGCCTCAGTCTCTGGGTTCAAGCAATCTTCCTGCCTCAGCTCCACAAGTCATTGGGACTATAGAAGCATGCCATGCTCAGCTGATTTTTGTATTTTTAGTAGAGATGGGGTTTCACCATGTTGCCCACGCTTGTCTTGAACTCCTGAGCTCAGGTGATCCACCCACCTCAGCCTAGAATTACAAGTGTGACCCACTGCGCCCTGCCCATGTTACTGATTTTTGTTGAAAAATATGATAATACTTGTCAAGATCTGGATGTGTTCCCTAAAATTCATATGTTGAAATTTAATCGCCGAGGTGCGCTGTTTAGGGGGCAATTAGGTCATGAGGTTTCCTCCCTTGTGAATATGATTAAAGTCTTCATAAAAGAAGCTTCACGACCGGGCGCAGTGACTCACTCCTGTAATCCCAGCACTTTGGGAGGCCGAGGCAGGCAGATCACAAGGTCAGGAGTTCAAGACCAGCCTGGCTGACATGGTGAAACCCTGTCTCTACTAAAAATACAAAAATTAGCAGGGCATGGTGGCTCATGCCTGTAATCCCAGCTACTCGGGGGGCTGAGGCAGGAGAATCGCTTGAACCTAGGAGGCAGAGGTTGCAGTGAGCTGAGATCATGCCATTGCACTCCAGCCTGGGCAACAAGAGCAAAAACTCTGTCTCAGAAAAAAAAAAAAAAAAAAAAAAAAGCTTCACAAAATACTCATTCCACCTTTTTTCCCTTCT